GTACTGGAAAGATGATCTTCTGGTTTACGGCACGCGAATGCACACTGGCCAGCTGGTCTGGTTTCTGGCGCACATGCATGCCGGGGGACTGCTCCTCCAGTTTCCGGCGTGCATGTGCTCCCATTCTGGCACTCAGTGACAAAAAGATTCGCCAACACTGGCCTACAGCGTTTCCTAATTTTTCTGCCTTTCTACTACTAGGAGCTCAAGCCAATACAAAACATTCCCCTCTCCAGCCTTATTAGCTCAACAAGCAACTTATATCAAGCAACAGCCCTTCAATTCCATGCTCAAACAATGCCCAAGAACCCAACCCCGTCTCTCCCAAGCAGACTTACAAGCCCTTAACTTCAGCCACAGCCTCATTTCGAGAAAGTTGAACTTTTCTCACATCTTCTCGCCGCACACTGTGATACCTACGGCGTGCCAGCTGCTCTTCAGTAAGACGGATGCGGCATGTTTCCTGTAGATAGCCGAGCATGGCAGGCACTGAGATTAGCAGGGCACACAGCCCATACCAAGCAGCTACAATGCAAGATGGAATAGATGCAGAGTTTATTAAGCCACCCACAGCTTATCTAATCAGCATTGGTTTTATTGTCCCCCTAACATAGTGTCTCATCAAAGGAAATTTCAATACCAGCTGTCAGTGCAATTTTCCCACCATACATGATGATAAGCTCCTGCCAGCCTTCCTAAATGTTTCCTGAACAAAATCAGGTTCTACTCTCCTCCCATTAACTTAATCCATCTCATGATTTCTGAGAAAACAGGTCCTAGAATTGCCCAGCATATCCATCCAACACTTCTCACCTTCACTCAGAGTAAGCAGCAGAAAGTTGAGGCCCAAACAAGTAAGGAGAGAGCAGAAGGGCATCTGCCAGCTGTGGAGTAGAAGCAATCAAAAATTTACAATCTCAAAAGGATGCTATTTATTAGTTATTAATTAGGAAGAGCAGTGGGGAAAAGTGAATAAAAAAGGCTGCATAAAGAATTAGAAAGGATCTAGTATCATATATTTTTTCCTGGGATTTGAACCAATCCAAAATACTTTTTTAAAGTATATGAGACCTATATAACACCTTATGTTAGAAATCCCTTCTGTTTCCAACATCAATAGGGCAGGAGTTGATTACCAACAACTGTTTCATCATAGTTTAAAAGCAATGTGAAAAGGACCCTAAGAACTAAGAAAAGGAGGTTCAGGAGCTCCATGCAATCTCAGAATCACAGCAACTATGATCCTTAACTATTGTATTTGCATAGAAGACTGGTATGGGAAAGAATGCCTTTTTATTGTCTAACAGCACTTCTTTCTATGGTCTTAAAATGAAATGAACTAACACCAGAACAATAAGACAAAGGAAAGGTATTGATCATAAGGTATTGTGCATCCTCTGATTTAAACATTTAGGCCAGAAAGGCTTCCCCTTTTCCCACTAGAAAAAGCAAATCTTACAAAAAGAATTTATTCCTCTATTCTCAAAAATGACAATAGGCATAGATTTTGCTGAACTATGATCTATGAACTATGATAGATCGATGATAGTTCTACGAACTATGAAAAAATAGCTATATAGAAAAGCACCAACCTGAGGAGGAACCACACAACTTCAGCAACATCCTGCAGTGGTTCTAGGTACAGTTCTAGTTGCTTATAGGATATCACCAGATTAAAGAGGTCCAAGGAAGGAGGCTTAGGGTGAGAGGGCGAAACTTGCTGGGCATCAGATGCTGTGGCATTGTCTAATCCATTCCCTGTGGACGCTCCACCATCACGTTCTGATACCTGCATACTGTAAATATCCATTTGTGATTTAACTTAATTTTTATTTATTTCTCTGAAGGGAAAATTAAGGTGAACAAAGATAAACATTTCTGAAATAACACTGTTTTGAAACATAAAATTATCTATTAAAACCTATGATTCAAAGCCTGTTAAATAGTGGAAATTGTAAACACAAACATTAATGAGCAAACAGCAAAATAAACTAGCAATGCATTTCATTTCTGGGCCATTGAAGTGAAACATAAATTACCATTTATCCATGGGCTGCATACTTCTAAGGCTATAGAAAATTGTATTTCCCATTCAGACAATAATGAACAAATTGAGATTGCATGAAGAAGTTGCATGAAAATCCAGCGGAAAGTGCATTGCAAACAAAATAAATGCTGAAAATCATTATATTTACATTTACCCCAATTATCGTTTCTTTATGAACAAAATCTCTCTTCATAAATATTGATTACACAGAGGAGAAAGCTAGAAAGAAAATAACCCCTGTATATCATTATTAAACCAATATGCTGACAAGCGCTAACAAGTCCTTAACCTATGCTCTTTAATTTATCAAAAGTTGAGAGGTGCATCTATGGTAGAAAAAAAAGACCAGATCACATTCTGCATTGTAGTCTAACTGGGCAATCCTATTACCTCAAACAGATGCTCGCACGCAGATGCTCTTTTTCATTATCTCAATACACATAACAAAAAGGACCCTAACTCCTTTTCCAGAAATGAAGGAAGTTTTCAATTTATTCACAGATGAAGAGAGCTGTGATTAATAATTATCAGATACAAAGAGATCCAGCATCTGCATTCTCTCCATCCCAGAGTCTGCAAGCCTCATCAACCGCATTTCCCCTTCCCCGGCATTCAGGAAGGAAACCACAAAACCCCACTTAACTTAAGCCTTGGAGCTCTGAAAACAAGCATACCGATAGGATGAAGTAAACGTTCCCTACATGGCGTATCTCTTCCCACCTGGGGCCGTCCAGATGCACTGAATTACAACTGCCAGCACCGCATCCAAACACCTCCTTGCCGCCCTTGGCTAGAACTATAGGAATTCATGGCATCCAGAGGGTTCAAGGTTGGAGAAGTTTGCTCCATGGGGGAAGGAAGGCACCAATTCCCTGGACCAGATCATGGAGACCTACCGGATACCAAAGCCTCACCTCGATCCTGATCCGCTCCACACTCACCCCAATCTCAAATCAGGAGAAGAGGCGGAGCCTCCGTTCAACTCGACCCTCCCGCAGCCGCCCGCACTTCCTAGCAAGAGAGACCCGGCTGTGCTTAAGCTTCGCTACTCAGCAAAAGCATCGGGAAAGGGGCGGCCGTACCCGCCTATCAGAGGCAGCAAGCCAATCAGAGACAGCGACACAATCCGAAGGGCGTGAAGGGTCACACCGGCGGATGCCCCCCTCCCGGAAAATCTCAACTCCTATTGGTTAAAAACCTCTAGTCCTCAGCCTGTAAGAGTTGGATTTCTTGCTCGCGGTACTGGCAAGCTGAGGCTAGAGTTCCTGGAAGCGGCTGCGGTGGTTTTGGCCTGAGCTTGCTCCGGCTGTTTCCCCCTGTGCCAAAGTTAGCCGTTGGTCATCAAGGTTTCTTGGGGAGCGTCTTTGCCCCAAAGCTGAAAAGCTCCAGTCATACAAGAGTAACATAAATGAAAGGTTGCATTCTGGAAACTACCAGAGCATTTTTCAGTCAAGGTTCCTAAAATCGCCAAGATTGATTTCATGATAGGGTCGTTGACCATTAAAGATTTATTCAGCGTTAAGCAGAATTTTTTAAAATATTTTTTTTTCAATTTGTCTCATTCTAAGCTTCTTCGGCTCCCCACTTGGAGCCGAACGCAGAAGGATATTTCTTCCAACAAAGGTAAAAGGGCAGTTGGCATTTTGAGAAAGGAATTCAGGCTCCTCCTGACAACTGAAACCAGAAAGTGGTCCTGGTTTCCAAGAGCTTCTCCAAAAAGATTAACAAAAATAGAAGGAGTAGGTAGGAAGTGGCGGTGGCTTTAGTTGCAGGAGAGGAACCGCCTCCCACATTTTGTTGTTTGTTGAACTTACGCAAGTATTTTGGGTCGAGTGGGCAGCGCAGGAAGAGAAGTAACCCACAAAAACAGTTTTAAGTTACCAGGCTGTCATCAGAGTGCCCGGGTTTTCTGTCACTTATGGTGTGGGACGGACCTCCAGATGGAATGAAAGATAAGATTAAAAGAAAATATTTAGATTACTCCATTTATGCTCCCTGCGCCTTGTGTAAAGCTGTTTCTTTGAAAGTAGGTATTTGCTATTAAAAACCTTTTTAAATATGATAATTCAAAATGAATGTGAGCTACAGTCATCTGGGCAAAACTTCTTTTTTTAAATTTAAGTCCTTCAGTGAATGTTATTAGAAATCAATTAGAATTGAAATTAAAGTTGACAGTGAAGATATCCAAGTAGTGGTTGATTTCTGGCTTTTCGGATCAACTATCAACAGTAAAAAAAAAAGCAGTCAAGAAATATGCTGCAGTCTAGGACTCAGCAGCTACCATGAAGGCCTTGGAAAAGACTTTAAAGTGCTGTGATGTGGACTGTTTTTTCCTTGAGGAAGATGTTTCACTTATCATCCAAGAAGCTTNCAAAATGCATCATCAGGCTGGTATGCCGGACAGTTGGTCTGGGCGGCAAATCCTTTATCTGCAGCATGCACAGTAGATGGTGAGAACACCTCCCTTTATTCAGTCTCTCCAGTGCTGACACTTCCCCACAAACAATGCCCCCCCTCCCCGTTTCAATGGCAGCCGAAAGCAAGCAGCAAAACAGAGGCTGACACCAGCATTGCTTCTGCCTAATAACCAGCTGGGACTTAAAAAGTGCAGAAAGGAGAAGGAAAGAAAATGAGGGCAACTCTCCTAGAAGAATAATCCTACAGCAGGGGTGTCAAACTGGAAGTCCATGGGCCACATGCGTCATGCGCAGGCCACACTCACCCCGGCTCCACTAAGTCAAAAAAGTCACGATACATCCCAATATGTCATGTGACATGATAAAGTTTGACACCCATGTCCTACAGGCAATCCTTAGGTCACCAGATTTTTATGCCAGGATAGATAAAATCTTACGAAGGGGATTTCAGAATGTACAGATTTAATTATTTCTCTGCTTTGCTCCTTCCACCAAGTCTTACCTCAGTCCCAGTCAGGGTAGGTGTCCAATCTGACAAGACAGTACCTTCCCCTTCTCCAAGATCCAGCTCTTCAGGCTCTGGGGCCACAGGGATGGATCTGAAACCCAAGCGCTGCTCTACAGCTGACTTTAGGTCCAGCATCACTGGAAAGAGAAAAAGAAATGGCTAGACATCCTCCAGAAGATCAAAAGAACTTCTCAACAGACCAGTTCCAGCTTCTGACACTGGCAGAGCAGCAGGTCATTGACTCCCATCACCAGTCCAAATGCCAAGAAATCAAGTACAGGCAGAAGAGCAACCACTGTCTCAGTTAATCACAAAAGATGAACTCACATGCTACAATAGGCCAGGACAGGGATCACTGTTCCCAACCACTGTGTTATTTAGAAATATTATTTTTGTTATATGTAACCCAAGTTATTATGATTTATTGAAGAAACCATGGGTAAAAAAAGCAAGACTGAAAGTGATGTGCGGATCCAGTCTATGTTTAGAACAAAGTAACACCATGGTCTAATGATCTGGGTCCTTGCTGATCATTACACTGCCTGCCACTACATAGAAAAAAATAATAAACCAGAAGAGCCAAATATGGCTATGAATGCATTTTCCAAAATGCACTTCCAGCACAAAACCTGAACACTGTAATGCCATCCAGTCAAGGTTTATTTTCCGCCACACTAATTTCCCGCTACCCACTAGTAAGAGGTCTAAATTAATTTCCCCCAGATTTTTGGTGCACAATTCACCTCAAGAAATTGCCCTAAGAACTCTGTTTGCTTTGTGAAGTGAAGAAACAAATATTTCTGGGAGGAGAGGGTTCCCTAAATTTTATATGGGACAAAGTACACAACAGAGCTTTCAGTCGATTACACACCAAAAATGGATCTCTGCAGTATATTTTCTCTTGAAAATCTACTCTATCAAGTTATAGAAGGAAATGCAAGAGACAGCATCACTTTCTCAATACAACCCACACCACAGGGCTTTCTTTCTGAAGATGGATGTCCCCTTTGTGGCCTCATCACTGAAAAGTTGTATTCCACAAGAAACTGAAAACTGAGCTTCTTCAAATAGAAGGTCTTGCAATGGCAAGACTTCCATTGTTATCAGAGATACATTGCAGGAAATGGCATTGTCATCTGGCTGATATGAGCACCAAAGGATGTAACATGGGACTGAGGAAGCAAAAAAGGAAAATGATTCTTGCTCTCTCTCTCTCTCTCTCTCCCGGTTCCCTAACCTAAAATGTTTTATTAGTCCCACTTGCATTGTCAGCCACAGAATATGATAAAATTGATTCCTTGCCTCGCACAGGTATCTAGCAAAAAAGGCCTCCACCTTTAAAATCATTTTCAGCAAGCTTCTTCAATTTTCTCTACCAAAGTCCCAATGCAATAGAGAAGTTCACAGGTGAAATGATTTGTTTACATTTTAATTATACAATCATTTACAGTTAACCCATTTCCCAAAGGAGTCGGTGCTATGTAATGAAATTACAATTTAAAAAATCCTCAACAATCTGACCAGAGAAGCCCAGGACCATCATTAGCACCCAAATGCTACACATAATAAAAATGTTTTTAAGATCTTCCTAAAATCCAGGAGGTTTGTTTTTAGGAATAGTTTTGAGGGACTGGAGAAAGAACCACCATCAAGGCAACAATCAAATAATATTACGAGTCCGGAGCCAAAAAAGTAACATGAATAAATATCTCAGATAGCTCCTCCCCCCACCAGTTCTCACAAAGAAAAGAGAAAAAAAAAGGGGGGGGGAGAGCAGATCCGGACCTGCAAAATTCTGTTGCTATAGCAGCTTTATAATAAAGTAGCATTGACCTACATGACACTGGTCACTTAATTTGATCTACCATGAAGGGCTGACAGGGTCATTTCTTAGGGGACAAAATATTCTAAAAGGCATGGGATGAGAATTCTTAGTATTCTCCTCTTAAAAGAACCTGGGGGCTAAACCATGTGGAGTTTCAAAGGTACCAGCCTCTACTTTCAACTGGATATAGACACCAACTGGCAGCCAGTCCACGATCTAATACAGGTGCTGTGCTGTTAAATCAACTTTGTCTGGTTCAGTGGTGAAATTCAAATTCTTTTCTTACTGGTTCTGTGGGCGTGTCTTGGTGGGCGTGGCAGGGGAACGATACTGCAAAATCCCCATTCCCTTCCCACTCCTGGGGAAAGGATATTGCAAAATCTCCATTCCCACCCCACTCTGGGGCCAGCCAGAGGTGGCATTTGCCAGTTCTCTGAACTTCTCAAAATTTCCGCTACCGGTTCTTCAGAACCTGTCAGAATTGGTTGAATTTTACCCCTGGTCCAGTTAATTGACAAATTAACACATAATTGACACTTCGGTCTAGATGAAGCTTCCAAGTCAAAGACTACCTTATAGAGAGTGTGTTATAATCTTAGATAACTTACCTTGATAAAATGCCACATTGCCCAAGAAAAGAGCACTATTAAGAAGAACAAGGATCCAGCAGATGGGCAGCAGGTAAAGGACACCAACTGAACCCATCAGCATCCCATAAAACCTAGGGAGGAGAAAAATGGAGCAGAAGACACATAACATACCTGAACACCAGGATGACCCTTACATACAAGTGACTGAGAAGTGGGGGAGGGTGTTTAGGAAGCAAGTTAAAAGCTCCCTAACTCAAATACAACTTCCCAGAGAAAACGAAAACACTGGCTCCACTGTGTGGTGTCAAACTGGGCCACTTCCTCCTTACAAATATTTCTCTTTGCATTGTTTTCATCTGTTTCCCCTGATCTTGCTCATCCAGGGGATATACTAGCTCCACATTCCTAACTTTCCCTCTCTTTTGAATTAGCACACTAATAAAAAAATTTAAACTCCAATTTCTTTTAACAATATTGTTCAAGTGTAAACTACTGCTGCTTTTTTTTAGTCACTTTCCCCCCTCTTTTGTTGTTTTTTCTCACTTTTGATTTCAGAAGTTTTGCTAA